ATTTAAAAATGGTATATGAAACAAAAAAAAGTAAACAAGAAGAAAATCAAAGGAAATGAAACTGCCCTTTACAAATCAACAAAGGGGTACAAGACAAAAACTGGGGTAAGAATCTAAAACTCTTCGAAGGCACAGGCCTAGCTAAAAATCATGATAATAACAAGCCACTGTCCCCCATTTGCTTCTCTGTATTTGCTACCTGGGGTCACATACCTGGTGTCATAAAGACTCTTAACTTTCTCCTTAGATAACATCACCTTCTGGAAACCCAAAGATAGTTTCTGAGATATCTTCCAGGCCCTGCATTCCGAGGGGACTGGCTGACCCACCCCGACCAAGAAACTGACTCAACTGGGATTGCAACCCCAACCCAGGAACTGACTCAACACAAGAAGATGATTTCTACACCCCTATAATTTTGCCCCAAACCTAACCAATCAGCAGACCCAATTGCCTAATCCTTTGCGTGCCAAACTATCTTTAAAAACCCTGTCTCCCAGATTCCCAGGGAGGTGGATTTGAGAAATTCCTCCCATCTTCCCCCTTAGCGCTCTGCGGAATTAAACCCTTTCTCCATTGCAACCCTGACCGCCTCAGTGTATTGGCTCTTCTCTGTTCAGCGGGCAGTATAACCCAGTTGAGCAACAACAGAAATTATTCTGCCAATGAGAAACATAACAAAATAAATTTCCAATAATACCAAAACATATTTCATCGAGAATAAGAGACACATTTCTAATAGCAATCATAATTAGGCTTTTGAATTGTTTGATATCTAATTAATGATGAAAATGAATTACAGGTATGCATTGCACATAGATTTAAATTTCTTACTGATTTGTCAAGAAATACAACTGTGAGGATAATATCAAATACTTGATACATACTATAGTGAAGACATTGAGGACATACTGGTTACCCGTGTCATCAATTTAGTAAATCTTTTTGAGATGGGATCTTACTATGTTGCCCAGGATGGTCTTAAACTCCTGAGCTCAAGTGATCCTCCCTCTGTAGTCTCTCAAGTAGCTGGGATTACAGCTGTATGCCACCATGCCCAGCTGGCTCTGTTGCCCAGGCTAGAATGTTGTGGTGTCAGCCTATCTCACCGCAACCTCAAACCCCTGGGCTCAAGCAATCCTTCTGCTTCAGCCTCCCCAGTAGCTGGGACTGCAGGCCTGTGCCACCATGCCTGGCTAATTTTTTCTGTTTTTAGTTGTCCAGCTAATTTCTTTCTATTTTTAGTAGAGATGGGGTCTTCCTCTTGCTGAGGCTGGTCTCGAACTCCCTCAAGGGATCCTTTTGGCCTGGGCCTCCCAGAGTACTAATATTACAGGTGTGAGCCACCGTTCAGCCCTCAGTGAGTCTTTAATATCACTCAAACTGTTCAAGAAAACTTCAAGTGCCCTGAAAGCTCACAGTTCATTTGATATTTCTTCAAATTTAACAATAATCCTAAAGAACTTGCATTGTCTGTATGACATTTGTTAAGGGTTTGAAGTAATTCCAGACTATCCATATAAAAAACAAATTTTGATCAACCACACTAGAAGAGAGGCTGATTATCTTTTTATTCTCTCTATAGAAAATATAACAAAATCATTGTTAATATGAAGAGATGTGTCTTAGTCCATTTGGGCTACTGCAACAAAATACCTTAGACTGAGTAATTTATAAACAATAGAAATTTATTGCTCACAGCTTTGGAGGCTGGGAAGTTCAAGATCAAGGTGCAAGCAGATTTAGTGTCTGGTGAGAGCTCGCTTCTCGGTTCACACAACAAGAAGAAGCACAACTTCTTGCTGCATCCTCACATGGTGGAAGGGGCAAAGGAACTCCACCATGGAACATCTTTTATAAGATCACTAATCCCATCATAACGGTGAAGCTTTGTGACTTAATCACTTCCCAAAGGCCCCACATCTTAACACCATCTCATTGGGAATTTGGTTACAACATATAAATTTTGTGGGGACACCAACATTTAGACTATAGCGAGGTGATTAAAGATTATCCAGCCAAACAATGTAGCAAAATAATTAGAAGATGTCAAACAATTAATAAAAAATATTAGCTATACTGAATTTTGTGATGTTTGTGGTACTAAGCAACTTTTAAAATGTTTTCAGGTAATATTTAATCCTCACAACAATCTTAGGATACAGATACTATTACTGTTCCTAATTCACAGAAGAGAAAACTGAGGCTTGTCCTATATCACACATCTTATCAACAGAGGACCTGGGATAGCTTTAGTGAATTGCTTGCTCACTCTGCAATGTTCTGTATCTGTCTTGCATGCAATCCTTTACACATACCTCTTCCTCTACCTGAATCAGAACACTCCGTCCTGTCACCCACCTTGCTAATTTCTGTTGGATGCTAGAGCATCAGCTCTCTCCTCACCCTCCAAGGCTAGGTTAGGCGCTGTCTGTCCCTTTTTTCCATAGCATATCATGCTCCTCTCTATCTGAGCAGCCCCCATCAGGCTGGGTTGTGACAGCAGCCTCACTGGTCCCTCTCTGCTACCTGCCTGGAAGGAAATCCAACAGGAGTTGAGAAATAACCTCCCTGTTGCACTGAGATTGTGTTGGTTGTCTGTTTTTGCAGCATATCCTAGCCTATCCTAACTGATGCATCCTTAAGATTTCTTGTGTGGAAGTAGGGAGAGAGAATCAATCTTTCTCTGGCAGAAAAGATAGGAGACATGCAAACTGCTGAAAGCCATGCTTCCAGCCTGTTGGAGAAAACTGATCTGAGGAACCGAGACCAAGAAAGAGAGACAGGGATGGAGATGGTGTGATGACAATCAGAGACCTGAATTCTGGTTGTCTCTGAGGCCCAACTGGACCCCTTTCCCACAATTACATGAACCTGTACTGTCCTGGGCTGCCTCTCAGAGAACACCATGAAATTTACTAAACCACCCTATGACTGAAATTCAGAAAAGTCCTGAAAACATATAGGATCAGATCTGGAGTAAGCCTCAAAGAACCAATCCTCTTTAACAGATGGGAGAATTGGGGCAGGGTGATATGCCAAGTCACTTAAGGAACTTAGCAAAGTCAGGCTGGGCGTGGTGGCTCACGCCTGTAATCCTAGCTCTCTGGGAGGCCGAGGCAGGCGGATTACTCGAGGTCAGGAGTTCGAAACCAGCCTGAGCAAGAACGAGACCCCGTCTCTACTATAAATAGAAATTAATTGGCTAACTAATATAGATAGATAGATAGATAGATAGATAGATAGATAGATAGATAGATAGATAGATAAAATTAGCTGGGCATGGTGGCGCATGCCTGTAGTCCCAGCTACTTGGGAGGCTGAGGCAGAAGGATTGCTTGACCCAGGAGATTGAGGTTGCTGTGAGCTAGACTGACACCACGGCACTCACTCTAGCCTAGGCAACAGAGCGAGACTCTGTCTCAAAAAAAAAAAAAGAACGCAAGTGACTGGTACCCATCCATCCTAACCGACAGGGGTCTAAACCACAAGCGTGAGTCTGAGAGACTCAAGTTGAAAAACCGACCAGTACAGATTTGGCTTCTGAAATCCCATCTCGGGGTCTCCTATAAATGAGGGTGCCGAGAGAGAGAGTTTTGTGAGTTTCATTTTCAGTTGAAAAGTCAGGAGATGAGGAGGGAAAGCGAGATTGGAACGTGGACTGTGGGATAAGAAACTAGTGAGGTGGAACAAAGAGGAAAAGGAGCTGCCGGAAGCCGTATGCAAATGAGCCCCTGGGGCTGGAGAAGGGGCGGGAACAATATGCAAATGAGCGCCTGGGCTGGGGGAGGGGCAGGCACAAGGGAAGAGCTTGAGTGTTGGGGGTGTGAGCCCTGGAACTGTCACCCTGGGCTCCCGGACCCTCATCTGAATCTTTAAAAATGTGGAATGAGCTGAGAAGAGGCCTGGGAATCTACCCGGTTAACCCCAGCTCAGAGGGCCACAGGGGAAGACAGTCTGTTCAAATCCCAGGCTTTCAGGACTCTTCCTTCAGTGTTCCTCCCACTTGTGGCTGCAGCAGACACTTTTCTGGGTGCTTGCCCAGGCTACACCTGCCTCCCTGAGAGCTGTCCCCATCCCACCCAAACTCAGAGCCTTCTGGGTAAGGTCTGCGCCTGCCCGCCCTGGCCCCAGCTGAGGTGGCACAGAGATGAAGGACAGACACAAAATGGGACACAGAGCAAAGACTGGCTCTGCAGTGCCACAAAGGAGTAATCGCAGACCCAGGCTTTCCAGGACAACTTTGGTCAAGGCCTGGCTGTGTTACTATTGTTATTATTTTTGTTATTATTATTGTTTTTATTGTTATTATTTTATTATTGTTATTATTTTTCTACTTAAGCCCAGTTGAGTGGGTTCTAGCAATGGTTCTTAACCTTTTCTGGGCCACAGATCACTCTAGGAATCTCAAGAGGACATAGGAACCACGACCCAGAAAAAAGCACATGTGCAGGCAATTGGACAAACAGCACCAGGGTGTTGCAGACCCTGAAATGGGTCCGTGGACCACACGTTGAGAACCTCTGGCCTGCAGGCCAAGGGAATTTAGGTAAAGAAGGCTGGACAGAGGTTCCCAAGAGGGGACCATGGCTGAAAGCTGGCTTGGTAGAAGGGTCAGGAAGACCCAGATTCAGATTCTAGCCCCATCCCATAATAGCCATGTATGAGATCTGTGTGTGGCAAATGAGGAGGATAACACACATAGAAAGAGTTACAAAACACAAAGGTACAGCTTAATCAATGATTACCAAGTACATACCTGTGGGCCAAAAGGTTAGACCATTGCCAACATTCCAGAAACCTCCCTCATGCTCTTTTCCAATTGTAAACCATCCCACGACCCAGGGATAATCTGCTTATTTTTGAAATTTGTGTAAATGCAAAGCCAAAAGTACAAATTCTTTTGGGTCTGGCTTCTCTCCCTGGACCTTGCATTTGTGAGATTGATCCTTGCTGTTGCATATATCCATAGAGTGTTCACTTTCACTGCTGTGTAGTGCTCCATTTTATGACACTTTATTTACCCCTTTCACGAGTGATGGACACTTGAGTTGTTTGGGGTGATTACAAATAATGCTCCTATGAAGATTCTTGTACATGCCTCCTGATGCTCTTGGGCTCATTTTTGTAGGATTACACCCATGAGTGGTCATGCTGAACCACAGGATGTGTTTATTCCCAGCAGAGTAGATAATGGCAAACTGTTTTCCAAAGTGGGTGTATCAGTAATACTCTCTAGAGCAGTGTGTATAAGTTCTTATCGTTACCATCCTCTCTCCCTCCATAATCTGTTTTCAGAGATCTTCAGTTCTGGTCATTGAGGTACCCAGGCCCCATCTCAGGTGGAGCAGAAAGCAGAGTCCTTGGTGGCAGCTGTTGGGGCAAGTGGCTCCTCTAGTGCCCGAAGGGTGGTGAGCTCTGGCGTTCAGCTTCCTGTCTGGCATCGGGCCCTTCCTAAGGAGTGAGAGTGAAAAGGGAGCTGCCCAGAGAGCCCAGGCTGACCCCCTCATGGAAGGGGCCAGGGCAGAGGGCAGAATTGGCATGCCAGCTCGTTCCTTCTGAAAGCACTTAGTCTGTCTGCCTTCCAAGAGACGGGTTCCGTGTGGACTCTGAAAATTGAGCCAGGATTTAGGACATTTGGATTCTTTTCTCTGCATGGCCATAAATTAGCCCTATTCTTGGGCACACCCATTACCATCTCTGTGTGCACATTTCTTCCTCTGGGGAAAAAAAGAAACACTAACATCTGCCTACCTCCTAGGTGAGGGTGCCTCTGGACATCACAAAATGATAGATAAGAAAACCATCAGAAAAGAATTTTAAATGCAGGTCACATTGATTGTGGTTTGTGTTACTTCCTGATTTCGCTAATTAAAAGATTATACAAAACCATCCCTTCCCTTTTTTCCTCCTATAGATCTATGTATAAAAATTCTATGGTGAGGCTGGGCACAGTGGCTCACGCCTATAATCCTAGCATTCTGGGAGGCTGAGGCAGGAGGATTGTCTGAGATCAGGAGTTCAAGACCAGCCTGAGCAAGAGCAAGACCCCCATCTCTACTAAAAATAGAAAAAAAATTAGCCAGTCAACTAAAACTAGAAACAAAAAATTAGGCAGGCATGGTGACACACACCTGTAGTCCCAGCTACTCTGGAGGCTGAGGCAGGAGGATCGCTTGATCCCAGGAGTTTGAGGTTGCTCTGAGCTAGTCTGACGCTACTGCACTCACTCTACCAGGTCAACAAAGTGTGAATCTGTCTCAAAATAAAATAAAATTAAAAAGTCTATGGTGGGCTGGGCGCGGTGGCTCACGCCTGTAATCCTAGCACTCTGGGAGGCTGAGGTGGGCGGATCGCTCGAGGTCAGGAGTTTGAAACCAGCCTGAGCAAGAGCGAGACCCCGTCTCTACTATAAATAGAAAGAAATTAATTGGCCAACTAATATATAGAGGAAAAAATAGCCGGGCATGGTGGCGCATGCCTGTAGTCCCAGCTAGTCGGGAGGCTGAGGCAGAAGGATCACTTGAGTCCAGGAGTTTGAGGTTGCTGTGAGCTAGGCTGACGCCATGGCACTCACTCTAGCCTGGGCAAGAGAGCGAGACTCTGTCTCAAAAAAAGAAAAAAGAAAAGCTTCATCTTTCTCTGCTGCACCACTTTTAATAAAAGGATGTGTTCTATAAAATTTGGATTAAGTCAAAAAGCTGAACTTAGGGACCTACAAGGCCACATACGACCTTAAGGCCACAGGTCCCCCACCCAATGAATCTGTGGTCTTTGCACTTGAGATGTGGGCCTCAGGGAGGGGCAGGCGGTGGCAGAGCCAGCTCAATTGTCCCTAACAGAGGAACTTCATCACTTCCAGGCTGAAGAATCCTGATTTACAATGACAACTTCTCTGAGCAGGCAGCATTGTCCCTGCCACCCCACAGAGCTGTGATTCAGGCCCCAGGTTTGGCCCTGCCAAGCTCCCAGAGAGCTCTGGACCCTGGTCATCGGCCTCCGGTGCCAGCCATGTGAAAAAAGGCCACTTTACATTTGATACAAAGCATCAGCCGGTCTCATTCATGGTGTCCGGAACATGCTAAGCTCTGGACGTGGGCTGGAAAGGAGCACTTCACGCCCTTTCCTGCCTCCCCGCCGGGTGGCTCTCACAGACCCCCGAACACGCAGCGGCCCCCAGCCCACCCGGTCTCCCCAGATGTCAAGAGATGTTGTTCTAGGGAACAGTGTGAGAAAAGCCCCATTCTCCTCTCTCTGCCCCACTGGCCAAGAAGCCCCAGCCCACAGGTGCCTGGCGGAGCCCGAGGAGCTGCCAGAAAGCGCCAGCCCATTCACTCTGCGTGAGAAGCGGCTTCCTCCGTGCCAAGTCCCAGCCCCCGCAGCCCCGCCGCCCCAGGGCCTGGTTCTCGTTGGCGGCACCTGTCTGGCCAGGCCTCAGAGCCCATCTCCCGCCCCGCGGCCCCACCAACGCAGGTGACCTCATGACCACGGCCTCCCTCAGAGCCCCCAGTTCTTCTGACAAAGCCCTGCTTGTCTGCAACACGGGGTCTCAGAGAGGTCTCCAGGCCCAGAAATAAGAGAAGCCGAGAGCCTGGTGATCCCGCCCGACGTGCTGTCATGGAAGATGGAGAAATTCAGGTGGAGGCAGCGGAGGGACCTCGGAGAGCATCGGCAGGTCCAGTGGATCTCAGCCCTGGCTGCCGCACAATCGCCTGGGGAACTCTGAAAAGTGAGGCTCTGATTTAGATGAGGGGGTGGGAGGGAGAACCCTCCGTGGAGCCAGGAGGAGAATCCCTGATGCGGTTCAACCCACTTGTCTCACAGACAGGAGAAACTGAGGCCCTGATAGAAGGGACTTTGGGGATCCTTAATCTTGTCCAATCCACCTGTTTTACAAATGGAGAAACTGAGGCCCAGAGAGGTTAAGTAGATTTACTCAAGGTTCCATAGCTAATAAGTTATGTCTTTTAGTATTTTGGGCAGTTTGACTTCTAGTTGTCTCAAAATAGTTCTACCTCTATCATCTCTAGTTTTATTGCCTTAAATATCTGCTTTAAACCCATCAGGATTCCCACTATTCAAGAAACAAAGTCCACATTTCTTAACATGACATCTGAGGCCATGTCACAACCTGACCCCTACTTACCTTTCCAGATGTACCACTTTTTTTTTTGAAACAGAGTCTCACTCTGTTGCTCGGGCTAGAGTGCCGTGGTGTCATCCTAGCTCACAGCACCTCAAACTCCTGGGCTCAAGCAATCCTCCTGCCTCAGCCTCCCGAGTAGCTGGGACTACAGGCATGTGCCACCATTCCTGGCTAATTTTTTCTATATGTTTTTAGTTGTCCAACTAATTTCTTTCTATTTTTAGTAGAGATAGGGTCTCGCTTTTGTTCAGGCTGGTCTCGAACTCCTGAGCTAAAATGATCCTCCTGCCTCGGCCTCCCAGAGTACTAGGATTACAGGCATGAGTCACTGCGCCTGGCCAGAAGTACCACTCTTATACCTAGCCAAGAGGGGCCCCTGCCCTGGTCCTCTCATTTTAAAGGGCTCCATTCTGGCCTTCTTCTGATTATGTCTCTCCGCATGGGACAAGGAATCCACAGGGTCAAGGAGACATGCTCACCTGGAGCCTATAACCTCCTTCTGGGGACTCTGGACCCCAGAACATCCCAAGTTCACCTATAGGGCCTGTACAGGCCTATTCCCTAGGTCCAGGCTTCTTAAAAAATAGTGCTAGTAGGATGCATTTTCCCAGGCCTGAAGGGTGGTCCTGCGACAGCTGTTCACTGAGGAGTAGGGTGACATGCAGGCTGGGTGTCCACGTCCTCCTGGTGTGAGCTGAAGGACTGAACAGGAAAAGCAGAAGGCAGGCTGCAAGCTGGCAGCTGGTTCCTTTATGCTCTGGGGAATCCAAGAATTCTAAATTCGAACATTGCCTTCTAGGTTGTCATGAAAGTATATTTGTCAAGATAGAAGGATAGAACATATTTAACTGTTAGATTTATAAATGTTAAATATTTAGCTATGGTGTATAGGTTTCCATTTCTACCGTTGCTTTGGCCCTACCTGCTTTGGGGACGGTTGCTTTTCAATTGGCTCCTGTAGGTGGAGGCTTCATGGTCCCTGACTTGTGAAAAGATCCCTCAGGTCTCCCAGCTGGGGAATGGAGGGAACTGGGCTCAATGTTGACCCCTGTGGCCCTCGGGGAAGGAGCAGTGGAAGTCAGCCTTGCTGCTAAAAGGCAAGTGGCCCAGCCCTCCAGTCTGTATAGGAGCAGCTGGCAATTCCTGGAGGGGGTCACAGGCTGTACTTATGGTAAAAAGAATGCATGTAGCGTTGATGTGATATGGAACCAAGATGTGTGGTCCCCAAGCCCTGGTTGGTGGGACCTTCCTTTCTTCCTGCAATGCATGTCTTACAAAGTCCTCTTTTTAAATTCCAAGGCTGTAGTCTGTTTTCTACCACAGAATTTCCATGCAATATATGAATACTAGGAACAGGACTGCTGGGTCACAGGGTATCTCAGATACCTGCTTGCCTAACTGATTCTATTCACAGATTGTCCTTTGGAGTGGTTGCACCTGTCTGACATCCCATGAGCTGTCCGTGAGGGTTCCACTGTCCCCATGCTTCTGCTGACACCTGACGGGATTCAGTTCTCTAATTTGTGCCAGATCACTAGCAGAAAAGTTGTATCTCATTGTTGTGCTAATTTGCAATTTTTTTAATTACTGATGACTTTGAGCATTTTATTATATGTCTGTTGGCTTCAATCGGCTCAGAATCCTCCCATTGATCTATCATCCTGCTCACCTTTCTCTAGGTCTCTCTGCAAGGAGACCTGGAGAGACTGGGAACCAGTCTGGTGCTGTCTGGATTCGCTATGACACTGAATAGCGGCTACAGCATTTGCCATTCCTGCCTATTCCCATCTCTTGGGGACTGCATCGCCTACCCTCTGGGCTGGACCCTCCCCAGCTCGCTGCTCTCCAGCTGCCCTGGCCGCCGGGAACATGCAAAGCCATTCCCACCCCAGGGACTTTCACTCTCACTCTTTCCTCTGCCCGAACCACTGCCATGCTCGAGGCTTGTCCCTCTCTCCCTGCAGTTTCTGCTCAATGTTATGTCCTCAGTGACATCTTCTCTGACCTCTGTATCTAAAGCAGCTCTTCAACGACTTTCTCTCCTTAATTTTTCTTCTTAGCACCTCTCCCCACTGCCTGTCATGCTATGTGTTTACCGGTTTATTCATTGTCTCTTTCCTGGTTGCTGCAATAGCAAGGACTGTATCTTTTTGTTCACTGCTGTATCTCCAGTGCCTGGAAGGGTGGCGGCACATAGTAGACACTCAATAATTGCTTGTTGAATTGAATAAACTCTTTAGTTCCTTCTACCTAAACATATTGACACAACACTTACATATAAACATTTAGACATTTATCAGTTTTCACC